GTTTTGCTATTGTGAACAATGCTGCCATGAACATAGGTGTGCATATGTCTATTCGAGTGACGACTCTTATTTCTCTAGGATATATTCCTAGGACTGGAATTGCTGGATCGAATGGTATGTCTACTTCTAGCTTTCTGAGGAAGCGGGTGGCAGCTCTTTTATCTACTCTGTTGGCCCCTTACACAGCCATCTCTACCGTTGGTACACTTGATTTCAATCTGTTCCTCTGTCTCCATGAGGGCGTGCTTAACCCCACGCCTGATCCCTGTTCTGAAAACATGGTAGCTACAGTCAGGAGACGGTCTTCCCAGAGGTTGAACCATGCACAAAGGATTTCTTTCATTTCATTCTTTTCAGACATGTGGCTGGTCTCCACGCCATGCCTACCTTGGGGCCAGTGGCTAGGGTGACCAGATGGATGGGTGATAGCAAGAGTCACCTCTGGAGTTACCCTACTGCACCACTCTCTCCTTGTCCTGCCCATTTCCCTGCCATATCCCTCTAGCACCCATCCCTGCCTGCCCCCTTCCTGGCCAGGGACTGAAGTTCTAGTATTTGTGGCACTGAGCCCATTTGCCCCTTGACTTCAGAGCAAGACTGACTGAGGTTGCTGCCCCTGCCAGGGACCACCCACAGCCGTGGTTTCACTCCTTCCTAACCAGCTGACATCCTGCTGACCCACCCCCTCCAAAAACGGTTAGCTGCCACAGTAAGAAAATCACATGAAACTCACAAAGGACAGAATAGATGTAATTGTGGATGTGACGAAAGGATTCTTCGATTTACACCAGGTTCATCACTGGGATCTGTGAAGAGGCACCCTGGGGGCTCTGAGTCATTTTACACAATGACCCACTCACCAGACACAGGATGAGGAAAGGACAGTGACCACTTCCATCAAGCTTCCAAACATATAGTAGGTGCTCAATACACATATGCACCAAATGGAATTACCTTAAACTGATCAAGAATGAGAGTTGAATGTAAATCCACAGAGAAGCAGGGCGATTCACAAAAGGTCTGTCTGCCACATTCCAGAAATCCATCTTGTAAGGTCCACTTACATGGCTGCTAGTTTGTATGTGTGTGTGTGTGTGTGTGTGCATGTGTGCGCTTACACGCATACATGTGCGTATGTGATCTCATCTAGGAGTAGGGCAGGGCCTCGGTCCCCCTACTGTCCAGTGGGAGGGAATGTTTTTTAAGTTCACACGGAGAACTGAGGAAGGTGGGAGACTGGTGGGCCAGGCTGGCAATGGGAATCCACCTGCAGGAGCAGGGGGATGGAACGTGAGGTCATAAACTTGATGACCTTTGATGTCTGTGTGACCACAGACAAGTCACTTGACCTCTCTGAGTCTGTCTCATTTGTGACATGGGGGTGTTAATCAAAGGCGTGAGGTCACAGAGCCTGTGATATTAAACTGAGGCAGCCCTTGAGAGAGTCCCCCTTATCTCATCCTCTGCTCCAAGCCTGCTTGAGGGTACAGGAGCTTCAGGTCTTGACTGGGGAACTGTGAGGTCCTAGATAGCCTCATTCAGCCATCCCTTCCCAAAGGCACCAGGGCTGAAGAGGGAGTGAGCATGCCTGCCTCACGGGTGGCTGTAGTCTAAACTTGGACTCTGGCAGGGACCAGACCTCTGAGGGGCTATGGTCATAGGGATGGGGATCTCCCCTGAAGTGCAGGACTGGCTGGGGATCTGGGCTGGGATCTGGCTGCTTCTCCAAAGAAAGCAGGGTAGAGCCTTGGAATCAGGAAGAGTGTGGGAAAGGGCTGTGGGCAAGGTCTGGCAAGGGCAAGAGGTTGATGAGGTTCCTCAGGGCTCTCTAGGCCCTGTTGCCAGGGAGATGATTCCCTTAGCAACCAGGGCTTCTGGGTGCTGTGTGGGCCCTGGAACCCCCACACGCCAACACAAACCACCACCTGTCTCTTTTTTTATTCTTTTCCCAGTTACCTGCCCGCCAGGGAACGGTAGACCCAGGCCTGGCCTGTCCCTTCAGCAGTACTGGACCCAGAGGGCAGGGGGTAACAGTGGGACAGGGCCTCCACCTCCCGCGTCAGCTCCCGCAGCCGCCGCCTCACATCACGGGCATCATAGGCCATGCGGCCTGAGGAGCGGCGCCGGGGGATGTCGGGGACTGCTGCTGGGCCCAGGACAGGCGGTGGGGCAGGTGAGCAGGGAGTGGCCTCTGCCTCCACCCCACTGTTCTTGTGGCTCAGGGCCTCAGGGCTGGGAGGTGGAGGGTTCACAGGGTACACGTAGGCCTCTAGGCCCACCTCTGACCGGACCTCTGTTTTGAGGGGCCTTCTGTCTGCAGTCTCCTGGAAGCGGATGGTCTGGGCAGGTGGCTCAATGGTGGCCTGGGCCCAGGGATTCCAGATTTCCTGAGTGGGTTGGAAGCCTTCCCAGTCCTCAGGGCAATCCCAGTTGTGGGAGCAGATTGCTGGGTGCTGAGGCAGGGGCTTCTTGTAGTCAGTGTCGGGGGTCCAGTAGGCTGGGCGGTAGGCATGGTGCATCGGAGCGTCTCGATGGCGAGGGCAGCGAGTGGCGGGGGGGGTCAAGGTCATTTTCACAGGGTCCATGGTGCATCGAAGGCGGACTGCAGGGGGGCTTTGCTTCCTCAAGGAATGATTGGTGGTCTGTTTCCCAGATGAGGATGACTTAGGAGCTTCTGTGGATGGGGGAGAAGTGAGGGGCCAGTGGGGAGGCTGGCTCCTACAGGGATGGAGAGGCAGGGTACCGAGAGGGACACTGCACAGGAGTGGTGTCTGAGAGGGGTGGGTGGTAAGGGGCCAGCTTAGTGCTGGGGCTAATCAAAGGAGTGCCTGGTTTCCTACGCCCCAGCCCCATCCCTGCTTACCTTTCACACAAATAATATGGAACATTTGGCGTAAGAAGTAACGGAGTCTGCGCCAGAGCTAGGTGGAGAAGGACATGGTGACCCCAGGCATGCCCCGGCCACCAGGCCTACCCCCAGCTGTCCCACCAGCACCCTCCCGCCCCGCACCACCCTGACCAGGGTCACCATGTTGATGCCAATGTTAATGCAGATGATGAGCCCCAACAGCAACAGGATGGAGTTGCCTAGGTCCTGGCAGTTGTTGGTGTGGGGGTTGTGATATGAGGCCCACCCGGGCCGTGGCCACTCAGCCATGGCCATGGGGGTCCCTGGGGCCGCCTGGGCCCCTAGGCCCCCAGCCCACTGTGCCCACACTGTGCCCCAGCTCACCTACCTGACCCAGAGGCTCCTGGGAGTAAGCGGGTCACAATGATGCTAAAGATGCTCCTCACAATGTACCAAGGGGCTACTCTGAGTCCTGGGCCCATGGCTGACCCTCTAGCCTGGACCCAGACTTTGGCAGAGGCGGAACCCCTCACCTTGAGAGCCTCTCCTTTAGTCAGCTACCTAGACCAGCCCACAGGCCTTCTGGCCTCTTTGACGTTACCCCCATCAGCCCCTGCCCTCTCTTCCACTATACCAGGCTCTGGCCTCTGCAGACAGGGGTCCTGTCCTAATTCCCCCAAACAATCTCATCACCCAAGCACCCACTCCACTTCCCTGAAGCCTCGGAGCTGCTCCCTGAAAAGGATGGCTGGGGGCTTGAACCCCTCTCCTCCTTCATCCAGAGTGGCTCCCCAAGGCTTGTTTCTTCGGAGCCCCCACCCACCGCCCACCACCTCCTAACATCACAGCAGGCACAACCAACAGTTAAACTTTTATATTTACAATATTCTCTTCATCTTTTGCCAGGTTTAAAAATGTGTACAGAGCCGCGAAGGGTTGGGGTGGGGGATATGGGATTGTCAGGAAATTGTTCTGGGGAGAGGGGCTGGGCATTGGAGTCCGTGGCTGAATCATGGGGTCCCCCAGCCCCCCTCCCGTGCTCCAATTCTGAGGGCATCTGTCTACGGGGTTCAGGGCCCTGGTCCCTAGCATTTGGAGGGCATGACGGTTTGGGAAGGAGCTGGACCAGGCAGGGGAAGGGGTCAGAAAAGAACTAAGTTTCCACGGGTGAGGGTGGGAGGGGAAGAGACAGTCAGGAGGTAAAGTTCTCGGGAGTCAAGACCAGGGATTCTGGATTTGGGTGTCGGAGGAAGACAGCACCCACCCCCTACTCAAGTTTGGCACTGATGTCCCACAAATGCCAGCAGACAAGGATTCTCTCCTCCCCTTCGTTTAAACTTTTCCTGACATTTTTCTTTACCCCAGAGGCTCAAACCCTTTCTCCTCAGGTCCCCTCACACATTTCCTTTCGAATTCTTCCTGCTGATGTCTGCCCAAGCCCTGTCCCCCCTACCCCTTCCATCTGTTCCTCAGCACAGCTGACCTCATTCTCTCCCCAACCTGTCCCGTGAAATCCTTCTCCCCAGCTCTCCCCTCCCCTGCTCCTTTCCTGGGGCCCTGGCAGCTGAGGAAAGAAGTGGGGAGGTCAGCAGAGGGGAGAAAGTTGGTCTGAGATGGGGACAGGCTCCAAGAGGGAGACAGAGATGGAGGAGAATGGGGAACTGAGGCAGAGGGAGGGATAAGACATGGTGATGAGAGAGACATAGGCTGGACTCTTTCAGCTGCCCCCACTCCCCTGTATTCTACCTGCCCCCACTGTTTCCCCTGCCCTGGTCCAGGACTGGGGAATCCTTGGCACATGGGGGGAAGGGTCTTCTCCCCTCAAACCCACCTCCCCAGTTTGGCACAGATGAGCTATGGTCTGAGGACTGAGGGAAAAAGCTGTCCTGACACTGGATGGGGACTTTGGTCAAACATGCATGGTCTCTATGGGTGGCATGTGACACCCTCCCCCCAACTCAGCACCTCTGGGGAAGGAAAGGGCAGGGCCCTCCCCTCAGGATTTGTATATCCCCCTCAGCTTCTGTCATTTTCTATCTGTTCCTGCCTGCTGTGTAGGGAGGAACTGAGTGCTGGGCCTGAGGCCTGCGTGGTACAGGGAAGTGCTGAGGGGAAAGGGGCTGTCTGCATGGGAAAACACGCATCCACATGCAAGAACGTGTCCACTGAGAGAACTGTGTCCTGGATCCCCGGAAAAGCAAGTTCGCAGGGAGACATGGATTTGCTCCCTTCCCCCTGGTAGGAAATCTGTGTCCGTCGTCATTGTGGAAGGCTGGGGTCCACCTGGGAGAACGTGCTCTGTCTGGCTTGTGCCACGGGACAGACATGCTTCACTGGGGGCGGGGGGGTGGGGAGGGGAGGGGGCCTGTGGTTTCCTCACTGCTTCCCAGCACCACCCTGTGTTGTCTGGTGGCCAAGGGTCACTGCACATGTGAACACACCACTTCCAGGGTCTCCAGGGGGTGGGGAGGGGAAAGAGGTGGGAGAAGGCATGAGGGAACAGGACTCTGGGGTACAAACCCCTGCAGAAATTCTTTGAGGGGGCCAACATGTGTCCAGGGTGGCAAAAAAAAAAAAACCTCACCCTGCACATGGGAAAATACACCCCCTCATGAGAAAGCACACCTCCACGCGGGAAAATACTTCCACGTTTCCACACACCCAAGACTGGTGTCCCAGTGGAGGGGGAAAGACACCCCCCAGTTGTCCAAAGGCCCAGGTCCAGAGAAGAGATGGGCTTCTCTGCACGGGAAAAACACACATCCCGGGGAGGAAACCCACGTCCACCTTAATGCTGCTCTGCATGTGACGACGCCACACGAGAAGAGCCCGTGGCCAAGTCCTCCTCCCTACCTTCGGAGTGGCGCTTCCCGCCCGGGCCAGTGAGGGCTGGGGAGGAGGGCCTCCCCAAGCTGCCCCCTATACCCGAGTGGTGGAGTGAGGGTGGGGTAAAGTGTTGTTGTGGCTGGTAGCAGTGGGGGGAGGCGGGGGAAAGGGCCCAAAAGGGTGAAGGGAGGGGGGCGGCGGAGGCGGTGGTGGCCCCAGCCCAGTGGGCAGCAGGGTCAGGGCCCCAGGGGCCAAGAGAGGCACATCGTCCGGTGCCCGGCGCAGGGCCAGGGTATAGTCGGGTGGACAGGCAGGGCGCAGGGCCTCAGCAGGGTCCGCCCCGACGCCACCACCCCGCTTCAGCTGCAATGACACCAGCTCCTCCTCTGGTGGCAGCTCACGGCCGGTGGTGGGGAGCAGGGGGCCCCCACCAGGCACGCCAGAGCCTGAGCCGCCAGGTGGGCTAAGCCGCCTGCACCGCAGCTCCTGCCGCCGGTCCCGCTTGTAGTACAGGGCGGCAAAGGCGAGGATGTTGAGGAAGAGGAGGGAGGCACCCACAGCCACAGTGACGCTGAGCTCCGTGGAGTAGTCCCGTGAGTCCCCAGGGAAGCGGTCATAGGCCCTGGGGCCTGGCTCAGGCTCAGGCTCAGGCGGCAGAGTGGCAGGTGGCGGAGGTCGGCGTGTGCCCGGGGCGCCAGGGGGTGGGCGAGGCGGCCAGCGCGTGGCATAGGGAGGCAGGCGCGTGGTGGTGGTGAAGAGCTCCGTGTGCAGGTTGTGCAAGTGGGGCACCAGCTCCAGCCAGAAGGCTACCTTATTGGCGCGGTAGTTGTCTCGCACGCGTGGCTTCAAGCCAATGTGCAGGTACTGCTTCTCCTTGCTGTTGAACTTGCTCCACACCACCTCCTCAAAGCGGTTGGGCTTGGTGTGGATGAACTTGGTGTCCTGGGGCACCGGCTGGTTGGGGTCGCTGTGGGCACAGGAAGGCAGGGAAAGGAGGATTGAGGGCCAGGCTCAGATAGGGGGCAGGGGTGAGGAGGGAGTAAGATGCAGAGAGACTGGGAGACAGAAAGAAAGGCAGAGAACAAGATGCAGAAGCAGAGGCAGAGACGGAGAGGAGATATAGAAGCTGAGAGAAAAACTGTCAGCCAGAGACAGACAGACAGATGAATGCAAGAGACGGGGAAGGTGTCAGAGATGGGGACAGAAACAAGGACAGAGAGACAAAAAGAGATGGGGACAGAGAAACTGCCAGAGACAGCAAAAAGTAAACAGCTCAAAGAGGGCAGAAGGAAAGAAAGATATCAGGAAATTTCAAGAGAGACAGAGACATAGAGACAGAAATAAAGAAATAGCCACAAACCCTTCCACATACTTGGCCACACAGACCCAAGTGGTCAGACAGAGGGGGCAGAGGCACTGGGAGAGGAAAGAAGGTGGGCAGGCAAGGGAAGGAAGGAGAGGCAGACACCAAGCAAAGCCACAGAGTGAGCCCACCCCAGAGAGGACAGGGACCTATCTGCAGAGTCTCCAACATTCAGCTCAGCGCCTGGCACAACTCGGGTGTCCAGCAGGTGTCTGAATTGATGGTACAAGAAGGGATGGCAAGAGCGAATGCTTTAATGGAGGAAGGGATGGCCCTATGCGGAGGAAGGGTGTGCCTTTGCCTGCAGGGTGCCCACCCAGCTACACCCAACCCCTTGGGCCCTCACCCAGTCTTGGCGAAGTTGGTCCAGTAGGTCATGACCACAGCGCTGAGCATGACATCATTCTTGGAGAAGTTGCAGGGGAAGAGGTCTGTGGCGCCCACCATGGGCACCCCGAAGACGTAGGGCAGCTCATCCCCATGTGCCGCATCTGCCCACTCGGGCCGGCCCTCAGCCTGGCAGTGGTGGTAGAAGGTGTAAAAGTAGACAGGGGACTGGTAGTCGGCGTGCAGCTTCGCGGTGGCCACCGCTGGTGCTACCCACTGGTGGTCAGTAAAGAGCGCCAGCAGGGTCTTCCGCCGCATCTCGCCATTGTCTCGGTCAGCCCAGTCTGTGTACATAAACTTGATGGTCTCCCGCAGCACATCCTTGCCCTCAGGGTAGCCATACAGGTTGTCCACAAAGTTGGAGACGGTGAAGTCGAAGGCGCTGGCCGACACGCCGTCCTCACTCTCTGCGGAGTCCTCCACGAACTTGAGGCCCTCGCCCTGGTTGACACCGATGAGCATGTCATAGTTGAGGAATTCTCCCTGCTGCATGAGGATCTCAGGGTCGTCCGGGACAACATCACCATCCACCACGGGCCCGAAGGCAATGTGGTAGCTAGAGAGAAGGGGTCAGGGTCTCATCACCTGCTCCCCGGCCTCCTCTCCAGCCCACAGCCTGCTGAGCCCACAGGCAAGCTCCTTCCCTGCCTGGAAGACCCTTTCCCCACTTGAGAAATCCCTCTGAGTCCTTCAGGGCACTTGGCCTCTCTGGGAAGTCTTCTCCAAAGCCCTTCATGGC